TCCTCGAGCATGATATATTCCTCTTTTGTGATACTACAAGCCGTGGCATCCCAAAATGCCGTATCCAAGATAGACTTCGTCTCGGTGGTCTCTGGGTGGCTGGTGGCCGATCCTTGCATTTGCACACTGCGGTCCAGAGCTCATAGTGGCCGGGATTCAGCACGAGCTGGACCTTGGTAGGATTGCTGCTTGGGGCTCTTGGTACGGAGTGGAGGCGTAGCCCCTTCTTGGCCGCGTACGCTTGCTGGATCGCGTTGGCTTTTTGGCGGTGGAATTCGCAGAGGAGGTGGAGGCTGCCGTTGCGCTTGGTCGTGCGTGGGTTTGAGCACACCTTGTACGAGTACTGGCAAGCGGGTGCTGCGTCTTGCAAAGCCATTTTCCGACTGATCCGTCGACGTCCGAAGCGTGTGGCTCCTCTGCCTGCCGATCACGATGCAGATCTTGGATGGGGAGCCAACCAATCCGATAGCGCGAAAACTGATCGAGCGCTGCAGATAGGCTACGCTTGAAATGATCCACCCATTGCACACGCCACAATGCGGGACTTGTGGCCAGTCTCGATGACAAATTGCGCTGGCATCCACAAAATGCAAAATGCCTTGGCATCACGACGGCAGCCAGGGTCGTTGTACGGTAGAGGCGCCGCAGCACGCTACTTCTAACCGGTGGCGTAGTCCACACGCTGCTACTCTTCGACACAGGTGCACGGTACAATTCGCGACGACGTTGTTCCGACCACTCAAGGGCCTGCCACGCACGGAGCGGTGCCGTACTTGCCGTGAGCGTTGCTGGCAAGAGTCGTCTGTCGCTAGCAATCTCGCCCGTCAACTTCGCTCGCGCAATGACCGCTGTGTTGTATCTGGATGGATGGCTGCGGGTCCGTGAGGAGCCGACGATGGCACAAGACTGGCCCCAATAAGCTCTCTGCAATATGTCGATTCTTATTTGAAGGGACCAACGATGCTTAAGAGCGTGTAGTTTTCACGGACGCTGTGAGTTATGAGCGAAACCATGACAGGAGGAAGCCGTGCGCCTCTCTCGGTGCACTTCCGAGCGCATGAGATTTGTGCCACTGATAAGGTTGCGGACATCAAGCGTGCTTGCGATGCCCAAGTTACTAGTGGCTTGCGTTGCGCTTCTCGCGTAACCGAGACGTCGAAACGAGCATCTCATATTACATTTACTACACGTCCACAGACAACTAGAATCGGAGCTTTACAAAAGCGTGTCCAAAAGATTGGCTTCGTCACGAGCCCAGAGCGTGTCGGTCCACGGCAGCGCATGGTCGTCATGCAAGAGGGAGCTCATGTACTCGAAGAGCTCGGCCCCGAGTTCGTCCGCGGCATTTCCGGACGTCGACAACGGCGTCGGGGGTGCCGCCTTGGCAGTGGGCTGCGCCGGTGCGGCAGCAACGACAACGTTCGCGCTCTTGGCCTGCTTGAGCTGCAGCCGCTCGAGGCGCTTCTTATTGGCGTACGTGCGTTGGATCGCGTTGGCCTTCTTGCGGTGGTAGTCGCAAAGCAGGTGGAGACTTCCATTGCGCTTGCGCGACCGTGGGTGCGTACATGGCTTGTACGAATATTGACACTCGAGAGTCGAAGCGAGCTGTGGACGCTCGGTGGTCATTTTGAAACTGAGCATCTTTCTCGTGGTGGTACTGCGCCACGCGGAAAAGTGCACGTCGGAACTCGAGTGCCACTGAATAGCGCGTTCCATCTGGTAGCAAATCCCATGCAATTCGAGAAAAGCCAACCAATGAAAGTCGAGGTGTCGGGAATGCAAGCGATGTGATTGGCTGCTGGAAGGCGGCGAAAAATCGAAGCCGGGTTAAACCTTTGGACGACAGGGATAAACCAAAAGGTCGCAGACGCCAAAAGATTGGTGTTGCCGTGGACGCTGATGGGCGCGTGCACGTTTGACAAGTTGTCTCGGATGGCATGTTGCAGTTGGTGCGTAGGTGGACCCATGAGAGGGTCCACGTCGTAAAAAGATCCGTAGACTCGAACCCGTCGTTGACGAAGCGCTCCTTGGGTGACTCCTTCTACAGCTGTATGCGTCAGTATCACATATTGTCTGTCGTTGCGCAACCAAAGGGCCCGATCGTCGAGATGCCATCGGTAATTTCGCCACTGTACTCGAAATCTTTGCACTCGACTTTCCACTGTGAAAACGTTTGTGGCACCAAAATACAGCACATTGATTATGACTAACGCTATTTCCTAACAACTATTTCGGACACCGCTCTGCTCAAAAGAGTTCGTCGAGCATCACAAACTCTTCGTGGGTCATGACAAGGTCGCCAAAGTCGACGAGCGCGCTGTCGTCGCGAAGCAGCGCATGCAAAAAGTCGAATTCTTCCACGCCAAGCTCCTCACTGAGCGGCGGCGATGCGACAGGCGACAGCGCGGCCGCCGCCGCGGCTTCCTTGGCCTTGCCTTGCATTTGGCGCTTCTTGGTCGCATACGCGCGCTGGATCGAGTTGGCTTTGGTTCGGTGGTACTCGCACAGCGTGTGGGGCTCGCCGTTGCGCTTGGTCGTACGCGGGTTCATGCACGGCTTGTACGTGTACTTGCAAGTGAGGTCCATGGTGCTGCTTATGTTGCTCGTGGCAGAATGAAGAATGTGAGCTTTGAGGAATCATCGCAGGTTGTTCTCAACTACAGTGTACCGAATTGGTCCATCGAAGGGTGACTCGCATGACTTGTTGCCCATGTGGCCGGCTCCAACTTGGCGTTTGTATGAAGTCCAGTGCATACGGGAGGGTTTGGCTCGCGGTTATGAAACAACATGGGACAGACCGGCGACGGGCCGCAGTTGGTTGGAGTGGGATCTTGGCGCAGTGGTATGCTTATTTGTCAGCGTCCTCGCCTCTCCTCTTGTCGTCTCGAGTCTTCGCGAGATTTTGCGCGATATTGTCTATTCCAAAAACTAGACCAAACGAGGAAGCGGCGTCGGAGATGCAAAACCGCGTGCGTCGAGGTATGCGTACACTGGAGCGTCCAGTGCACTGGGCTGTTTGGCCGCTCCTGCTCGTGTGGGATGACATAAAACGCAGCCATCTGATGCTTGAACCTCCGACAATGCACTGGCTTCTGATAGGGCCACTGGGCGGCGTCTGGGCAGGCTGCGACACGCAATACTTTTTTCAAGTCGCGCGATTCACCAAGGCGCGAAATATTTTTGAAACGACAGATTGTCCTGGCCCCTTGACAGTCGCCACGCGCTGACGACAGCCACGAGCGATAAACTAGGAATCTTTCGAAGCTTCTGCACTGCCTGTTGCCACTCGTCTTGGGTGCAGAACAACGAACGGAGACAGTACGCTGCACCTCCCCTCGATTCCCCATCGCGGTTGGTCGGGGAAGTTTCTTCCAGGTGCCAGCTGCGCGTAAACGCGTGAAGACTTGGAGCTATGGCAGCCACAAGTGCGAGTTGAGGCAGTCGATTCCGAGAGATACGCCAACCTTGTTGCGTGAACGCCGCTTGGATATGTTGGTACACTCGCCTCGTAGAAAGGCGCTCGTCGAGGCTGCTGCTTCAACAAACGTGGCGCTGGAACGGGTGATCACCGCGGCTTTTTGCTGTCGCACGTTTGCCTCCAACGGGCTCGAAGCCGTTTTTCGGCAAAGTACACAGTGGAATAGTTTACGGCGATGGATGCAACATCGAGTGCGACCCATGATCACTGCAGCGTAGACACGGGTGGAAGCCTGTTTGCGTCTACGGTGACCACGCTGGATCTTACTCGAATGATGAGTACAACGCGCCAACGACTAATTACTCGTCCGAGTTCGCTCCTCGGTCGCCACCGTCATTGCGCGGCAGAACTACTGCGTGCGTATCATCGAGATCCAATGCTGAGAGTTCACAGTGCACGGCAGCAGCGAGCGGTATACGGTACTGTACCGCCTGCAACGTGGTTGGCGCATGGACAAAATTTGTTCTCGAGGTCTGTAGAATCAACTTGCCGTCGCACTCGATACGACGTCTCGACCTCGACACGTAAACATCTTGCACACAAGGTACGATGTCGTCGTATCTCCACACCTCGTCGTAGAACAATCTCAGAGCCTCTGAGGTTGTTCTTGATATACACTACATTGTGCCGTAGTCGCGTTGATCGAGTCGTAGACGTCGAGTGCCAAGACACCGCTGTCGTGTGCGCCGCCGTCGTTCGATGCATCTCCCGTGAGCCTTTTGGCGATCGTTATGATATGACAAGCCTGTGGTCTCGCTAGCTCGGCACAAGTCGACTCTGGTCGGTCATACGCTCTGCGTCTCGAGCTTGCCAGGGCCCCAACGCCATGTTGCTCGAGTTGCTATTCAATTAGGGGCGTCGTTACGATGGCTGATTAAGGAAAGACCCATGGTGCACAAGCCCATGATGGGCGTCACTGCCGCTTTTGCAATACGGACGAGCGCAAACGTACGATCGTTGGTTGGTGCGCTGCGTCCATGCGCCCTGGCACGCTTTCGAAGTCTCTTGCTGATGCATCTCCCGTCGTTGCTCGCTGGCTTCCTCCACGGCGCCGTCGCTGCGCCGCACTCGGTTCACTATATTGTAGTCTTCCATTCTCGCCCTCCGGCCGGTCTTGCGCGCTTGCGTTTGATATACTAGGAGTATTGTGTTTGGCTTGACCGCAACGACCAAGCCTTTCGCACGACGCTGCCGAAAAGAACTTCCCGTCGCTGCGCTCGCGATAATGGCAGCTACGATTCAATGCTTGTACGTACTTGGTCGTCGTCGGGGTGCCATCGCTCGTCGCATAACGATCTCCGCGACGACTACTATTGGTGTGCGCGCCACCTCGTTTCTCGCACACAACCGCAACCATACGACCACTGACGCCCTCGCTGGACGCAACAAACAGCCTCAAAAGCACAGGAGGAAGTCCCGCATACTCGTATAGATCCTGCTCGCAGAGAACATTGACAAAGAATAAGCTTCCTCATCCCATTCGGCAAGATCACACTAGTATGTGCAGCCACTAGTACATGGGACAGCCACCTATGGCGTGTCGTCTTTGGTCGCGTGCGCCTTGGATTTCGCCTCGCCCGCAAGGTTCGACGCCTTGTCCTTGGCGGTCTCAGCAGTATCGCCCGCCTTGTCCTGGAGCTCGCGGGTCTTGTCCTTGGCCTCGGCCGCGGCGCTCGATGCCTTGTCCTTGGCCTCATCCTTGGTCTTGCCGGCCTTTTCGTGGAGCTCGCGGGTCTTGTCCGCTGCCTCGTCCTTGGCCTCGTCCGCCTTGCCGGCCAGTTTGTCCTTGGCGTCATAGGCCTTGGTCTTCAGCTCACTCGCCTTGTCCGAGACCTTGTCCTTGGCGTCGTACGCTGTGTCGACCATCTTGTCCTTGGCGTTCACCGCCTTGGTCTTGGCGTCGTGGAAGGTCGACTGCACCGAATCCTCGGCGCTGTGCACCGTGTCCATCACCTTGGTGCGCGCCGACTCAAACACCGAAGGTCCGTCGTCCGACGGCGTCGTCTTGGTCGTAGTCTTAGTCGTGTCCGACATGGCAGGCAAATGCAAAAGTGAGAGATCGTGCCGCCCTCGACCGCCAAAGGCCCTGTCGCGCGAGCCCAACGGTCGCGAGAAACAACCAAGCTGGGAAGTGGCCGAGAACGAGAAGGAACGGCAGCAACGGGCTAACGGCCGCATGTCGGGTGGCTGCGTCACGGGACAAGGCTCCACGACGCATCCCTACGACGTTCTCGGCGCGGCAAGATGTTTCCAGTTTCCAGTTGACTTGGGCCGTGGCGATCTTGCCCTCCCGCTCATGCGACGAGGCAGAGAACGCAAGTCGGTCACGGTAGCATGCGTGTCGGCCGCCTTGCCTAGCACGACCACCTTCCGCACCTCGACCTTGGTGTTGTGGACGACGGCTGCGTCCACTTTGGCAAGAAGCTCCCATCGACGTCGTCCGACGTGGCTTAGAGCTCTACGTTAGCGTCGTAAAGGCCGAACACTGTCGAGGCGGCTGTCGCTTGGACCGGCGTCTAGAGCTTGTGAGTGGCATTTGATCTGCAACTGGCGCTTTGAGGGGGAAAACATAAGCTTACGTCGCAACTTGACGGTTGACGGACTCTGCGTTGAGGGCGGTGACCGTGGCTTGGATGTTGAGCAAGAGCGATCGATGCGGCACGCGGTTGGTACAGCACCCTGGAAGCAATTGGGGCACGCCAGTAAACAAGGCCGTGTGTGGTGAGAGTCCAGCTATTTTGCGGCGCCCCGTAAATGGGCCAAATTCGCAAACGATGTTTAGTGGATACTATAAGTACCAACCATCCCAAACCAGACTCTGTCGGTAGCCTGGCACGGCCACGTCATCCGGATGAAACACCAAGACAAGTTGGCACGAAGGAGCCAACACCACACCAACAACTCAGCCTACAACTCCTAAACTCGCGGAATAAAAAAATATTGAGATAGCTTTCGCCGCGGGGCCATTCGCAACCCGAAGCTGCCGCTGGCGAAGCCCCCGACGCCCAACCGAGATGCATTGTTACCCGCCGAACCAGGCCCCGAACGACCCCGATTTTTAGACCTGGCTTTTGTAAGAGGTACATGGATGACCTGGCGTCCTGTTGAGTACTGTAGGTACTAGTCAAATCGAGTAACTACACTGCACGACTGCTGGATCCATGGGACTCCATACCAAGAGTGTCCATGGAGTTTGCCGAATGGTCGGCCCTTCACTATTGCGTACTAAAATGTACTAGTACTAGTCTTAGCATTGTGCCAACGATGCTTTGCTCAGTCGTCTCATTTGTGTCTCGTTCTCGTCGCATCCAGTGGGATGTTGTGGGTCCGAGCAAGGGTACATAGCTCCTCTCATTAGCGTAGATTCTGCTTGTTCATTATCGCTTTCGTCGCGCATGTCTTTCATCGACAAATGCGATTTTTGCTGTCGCCATCGCGACCACCGACACGCAAGTCGCCAGTTGCAGTAAAACACTTGGGTACAGCTGAAGCGTGGTCAAAGAGAACTTTCATTTACCATTGGCCCATAAATAATGCCGTATGGGACGAGGTAAAAGTCAAGCAAATCTGCACAGAGTAGTATCATGCAGGTGCAGGTGCAGGTGCATCGAACTTGTGCGTTTCACGCACTTGAAGATGGTTCTCAGTCCGTTCCCACGGTTTACCAACTCCTCCGTGTTCCTTGCGCCATCCTTCTTGCACCCAAACGCGTTCGACCCAAATGACCGTAAAGACGCTTCTACACCGCGCAATTAGCCGTGACTAAGCTCTGCCCTCTGATGTAGGTCGCTCGCAACATGGATGTCGTCTTGGGAAGGTATATATTACAATAAAGATAAGGTGGGGGCGGATTCAGAAGAGGGCAAAGAGGATCGCACACTCGTCCTCGGTCAGCGCTGTCGTGTCGGTGGCCACGTTTCGCGGTGCCCATGCGTCGTCCAGGAGGGTACTGAGAAACTGGAGGTCCAACACATTGGCGGTCGTCGGCGTCGTCGGCGGCGACTGCAGCAGTGTGGCCTTTTGCGCCGCGCGGAGCAGCTTGCGCTTCTTGGCGTGAGTCTTTTGGACCTCGTTGGCCTTGTCGCGGTGGTGGTCGCAGAGCATGTGGAGGTCGCCGTTCTTCTTGGTCGTACGCGGGTTAAAGCATGCCTTGTACGTATACTTGCACAGCATCGGGTTGTTGTTGTGCTTGGGCGAGATCATGTTGGCGAGGTGCTACTCGAGAGGAGGAAAGTTGAAATGTGACGGCCTCCGACTTGGTCTCGCGCGCGTTTCCCACAGCTTCCATCATGGCAGCGATGGGCTTGTGTCAGTCCAACTCTGTCCAAAACGAAGGCCGCTCTTGGTTGCTGTCCAACGTCAGACTTCCCATGAAGAATAATCCAATGGATTTATTCCTTGGTCGCTGATTGGTTGGCCGCTCCACCGCGGACTCACACAGGTGTTACAAAGTTGGGTGGGATCGGCCTCATACGGTCTCAGATCCCAACGATGCTGCAGACACAAAGCGTATGCACGTACTTTTGCTACCGTGGATGCCGCGAGCTGCAGCATAGCTATCGTACTGCGTATAGCACTCGAGCTCACGCCCAAGGGCCCCTCCGAGCGCGTTCGGGAAGCAGTGTCGAACCTCAATGCTTACGTGAGTGTACTTGATGGCGTCATAAGAAGCCAGAACGCACCGCCATTACCACGTGACAAGGAGCCAATCAAACGCGACGTGCGTTGAGGTAGCCAATCATATGCCGTGTTTATGCCTGGCATGGCGCCAAAGTTTCTGCCGCCAACTCGCGAAGTCCCTGTGGACATGGCGACAATACACGACACGCATCGCCATGGCTATTATGCTAGTGGACTAGTAAGCGCACATTTTAAATTCCTTTCAACTGACAACAACGATGGACGAGAGCTTGCGCTGCAAGTATACATACAAGCCGTGCTTGAACCCACGTACGACCAAGAAGAACGGCGACCTCCACATGCTCTGCGACTACCACCGCGACAAGGCCAACCAAGTCCAGAAAACACATGCAATCAAGCGCAAGCTGCGGCGTGCCCTCGAGAATGCGTCGCCGCCGCTGGCGCCGGCACCAACGAGCTTGCCAATGGATGCAATTGAGTTGGCCTATCTCGAAGCCATCCTGAACGCACACGAGGGACCGTCGACAAGCACAACGTCATCGACATCGACGACACACTTGACGGACGAAGAATACGCGATTCTATTCGAACTATTTTAAATTATAAGCAAATCTAAATCCCATGTAAGACCGTGCGAATATTTCGTTTCCATGTGCGGTCGAGGCTGCTTCTACCGACAAGATGGCCTGATAGATTGATACTTTTTGTGTCTATTGGATGCACGGTTGGTGTTTTGGCAACCAACTGCCAATCGGAAACGAGCAAATTGTGTGATAGTGTAGGTAGCGTGTGAGGCAACGTAGCGCCGTGTTGGTCACTGCAGGATCGGGTGCTAAAGGCCGATGGTATGTAGAGGTACTCGGTGCTGCGGTGGCTAAAAGAGCCAGGCTAGTTTAAAAAATGCGTACGACGGCTCGAAAAGGTGCTTCTAACTTGTTGGTCTCTCGTACGTTCACTCTCTCGCTATATTGTTTAGTACGAGGTCGTTGTAGCGCTGCGTTGTGCAGCTGCATCTCGTTTCGTGGCGTGCTATTGCGGTTGGACATGGTTCGAACAGGCCCAGTTCATTCTATGGACACGGGCATACACTCTTTGAATAAATAGATGAATCGCTACGGGAATATATTTGAGTCGCCTATTTGAGTCGCCAGTAAATCCAGGATGGCAGTCGTACTGACAAGGCGCGTGTTTTTCAGCCATATCCCAGCTCAGTAGGCTAATTGCGTCGTCGTGTCAGTCCGATGGCGAAATAAAATTTTGCGGTCCCGACGGTCGACAACGATAGGTCCTCGCACGTGTAGGTTCAATGTACATCGGCCCCTTTCAAGATAAACAGCCCAGGAGGAAGCTGGTCGTTTTCGAAAGGATACAAATACATGACGGAAAGTCGACAAAGCGTCAAGGAAAGCAAGATTGTTGGTGTAGGGCGGCGAGGTTGGCACGTGTACGAAGCGTGGCCGACGTGGTGTAAACTGGCACACGACGTACTCGTACTTCTGTGTGCTCCTACGTAAATGGTGCCGACCACATAGACGCCAGCATACGGGACTGTATTTATGTGTTTGGTGTCCGCATGTGCCCATTGAGCAATTTCAGCGTCCGGTGAACCACCGCGCTTCGTTTTTGCCTCTGTGCGTTTTGTGTGCTTGAAATTGGGGCAAGCGATGCATCACGGACGTGTTGTTTCGACACGGACCCAACTTGACAGAGCGCACCGAGCATCATTGCGTCACGGCGGGTTGACGTCCAACGTGCGATGAGGCAGAGCGCCCAATCACGACGGCACCCAATCGCCAGTTTGCTGGTGCATACTAGGGGCTTATATTTCCCGTAGCAGTGCATGGGCTCGGCGTTGCTGGACACCTACCCCGAGCCGACAGAGCGCACTGCAACAAGCCGGCTGAAAAGGGTTCTTGACGAGGCTGCAGTTCCTACAAGTATAGTTTAATGCGAGAGCGTGGGCGCCCGACACGAGCACAGTACATGTAGTGGCAACCCAAAGCAAATAGCCAGTGTTTTGCACGTCTCGCAATGAGCCAACGGTACTGTTTGGTCGTGATGCACGCAGTAATCACGATGACACTGGTCGCTTGCGTCATGGCGTGACGAAGGCACACACCATCCTTTCTAGTCCGCGACGCAGACGAGCGAAGTGACTACACAGTCCGCTGGACTGCTTGGCGGGACGAGCGAGCGAGCTGACGTGGGTACACAATGGTAGAGAGCCATCGCTGCATCACGGTGGCTTCTTCCCACATTACCATGCTTCGTGATAGTGATGACATCAAGCACCGTAGAGACATTATTGGTGCGGACCGGGGTGCGGACTGGTGCGGACACGTCAAGGAAGCCATCGCGACGACGCGGGCTCGTGTATCGAGGCAAGTCATCGCGCTCGAACCACTTCACCGATTCGTAACTATTTGGTCTCACGGTACAGTGAGCACGCCAGGATCAGACCTTGAAATAAGATTGTTTGGTGTTTTTGAGGGTGCAAGTCGCGGCGTCGTCAAGCGTGGACCGACTGTGAGTAACTCGTTGACTTGCTCGGTTGATTAACCTCGAGATGCTTCAGATGGTGCTGGTTGATTAACCTTCAGATGTCAGATGATGCGCCTTCAGATGGTGGATGATGAGCCTTCCGGATCCCGTTCCACCCTGTCGAGGGCACGCGTCCATGGAGGGTCGGACAGGGCAGTGGGATGCATCGAGTTTGATTGGTATTTCATTCCATTTACGAGCTCTTACAACGGGCTAGCCTCGGCACTTTGCGGCCGTGCCAACAAAGACTTCCACGACGGGCAACGCTGACGACCGCGCAACTCGCGAACTATTCACAATGGCGACGCAGCGACTGATTTGGGCCACGTTAAATTGACTACAAGTATCCAATCCCGTTGCTCGAGAATTTCGCGCCAAAATTAGACTCGTTTGGAGGATACGAACTTAGATATTAAAGTTAGAAGAATAAGTCAGATGCCGATGACACCTGAAGTGTACAGCGATCGCGGTGGTCTACTCGTCGTCGCTCTCGCCGCTCAGGAGGAGCTCGCAGAGGTACTGCAGCTCGTCATTGTCGACGACCGACGCCAAGTCAAAGCCGTCGTCATGGCCGGTAAAGTCGCTTGGCTCCATGGTTGCGAGTGCTTGGCGAAGTTTTTTGTTGGCGGCATGGATCTTTTGGATCGCATTGGCTCGGTCTCTGTGGAAGGCGCAGAGGAGGTGGAGTGCGCCGTTGCGCTTCATAACGCGCTGGTTCGTGCACGGCTTGTACGTGTACTTGCAGAGGGCGTCGTCGCTGGACATGGGCAAAAGACAAATGGGAGGTGCTTGAAGCCCCAGCAATAGCATTACACCATGTCGAACACGCGCGCAACGCGCAATCTCTGCCGTCGGCACGTGTGTCGTGCTTCGAATCAGGAGCCAAATAATGTGCTCCTGGCTTCGATGCACTGGCCCTACTCGAACTCCTTGCTTTTTTGGTCCATCTTGAAACACCCCTATTGAGTGAAAATGGATTTCAAAATCTGAAAAAACTCAAAATCAATGCTTTTGACGACTGGAACAAGGCATGCCCTTCGATCGGACATGCTTATCTAGTATTGGACACGAGACAGCAAAAAAGACAAATCTCGGCGGCTCAGGTGCACGGGAAGAGCGGGTCGATGTCGCGCTGAATGGTGAGAATCATTTCGTCCAGAAAAGCCCAGTCCAGAGTGTCGAGCACAGCGTTGCCGACGTCTTCGACGGTGGAGATCGACGACCGGGCCTCGTCACGCTTTTGGCGCTTCTTGGCCGCGTACGCTTGCTGGATAGCATTCGCCTTGTTGCGGTGAAATTCGCAAAGGAGATGGAGCGTCCCATTGCGCTTGACCGACCGCGGGTGCGAGCATGGCTTGTACGTGTACTTGCAGGTCGGTGTACTTGCTGCGGCCAACATGGTCGCGCGCGACTGGTCGTTCGCGTGATGAATACAGGAATGACTGCCTCGAGGCCAATGTTTACGACGTCGAGGGCTGCGACCAAACTCGTGGCACTGGCGCGGCGCAGATGGGTCGTTGGGACAGCTCCATATGCCTACAGACACTTGCGCGAAGCTCGCGCTTGTTCTTCTCGCATGGCCGTCGCGGTACATATAAAGCATCGAGCGTCGACGGCCCATCGATGAACAGGATGTACTGCGAACGGTGGACGGAACGACTATGGTACTAGGAGGGTCGAACGAGCCCCGATACACGTGGAGATACATTGCCCTTTGTACTGTTTGCCCCGCAGCTCCGTGGGCCAATCGGCATAGACACGCACGAACGGGACGGCTTGTGGTTGTCTGGCAGCGTCTGGCGGCGTCTGGCAGCGTCTGGCAACGTCTGGTGGTGGAGACTCAGGCAATGCGTTGGCTTTCTACGCACCAGCTGGCAAGGAAGGTGTGGCTGGCACGATGGGCGTGCTGGGACAATCACTGCATGGTGGCGTAGATCGCAGGAGAGGCTCCACGCGTGTCGAGGCCCGCTTCAGTTTGTGGCCCGCATCAGCTCGTGTCCGTGGGTACATGCACGTGGTTCGTCGTCGTCAACGTACCAGCGAGTCCCGGTGTGAGACCTGATCGACCATCGAATAGCACTGGATTGTCCGCCGTCAAAATCAAGTGCCCCTTCCACATTGTACCGCCGCCATGTTGCATGTACTTGAAGGGACTGGAGCAGCACTGTGCATTGAAAGGATGTTGTACCTACCGAAGGCAATAATGAGTTCTTGACGTACTAGTATGCACGAGTAATATGCACCCTTGCGATACCTGCACCGAAGCGACTTGGCGACTTCGCTCGAACCCAGATAGAACGCTGCCGTCATGCGCCCGTTGCAGCTTACATGCCAGTTGTTGATGACGAGACACTGCGAACGAGCGCTCGTCGCAGACCGCGTGCGCAGCTCTGGCTGTTGTTGAAGTGAGTCTATTTAGATTTAATTTACACGGAACTGGTTTGGGGGTGGACTTTCGATTCAGAGCGTGTTGTGCTAGACGGCAGCAGCGGCGAGGCTTAGCCGTGTTGAAGGCGAGGCGTATGGATGGCGCAAGCCGGGACGAGGTGGTCACGAAGCCAGGCGTCGTGGCGCCTCATAGCAGCAGCTCTGGTTGTACAGCCAAGTCCTGGCAAATTTCTCTCCAGTCCAATAGTCCACTATGCATGTAAAACAAGGCAGGTTCCAAAATGGAATATCGCCACAAGTCGCCAGTCGCACCTTGCTCGTTGGTAGTACCAGTCTGAACGATCGCGTACAATCTTGGGTGCGTGGCGAGAGCATGAACACTAGTGTGTCCGGCGATAAGACCAGTGCTCTGTTCGAATGCACCACAGAGTTGCAGATAAAGTCTGTTTGCGACACAAGCCGGCTACACGGCTACCGACAACGGCTGCATCGCACCGTCAATTGGCTTCATAGAGCAACCAAGCAACCCGTGTCGCCCTTCGAAGCGGCGCGTGCCAACTGCCCAAGATGCTCGACACAGATGCACAAGATATGCTCGTACCGTACAAAGTAGCGTCCAAAGTGTATGTAAATCCTCGTAACTCGGAAGGATCGAGGTGCGTAGCGTGCCATTGCATCGACTGCGCTCGCGTTCTGCTTCATGAATGAAACGGCGAGGCATTGACGTATCTGTGGCGACCGAAAACCGACCTGCGTTGGCAACCTCGTCGACAGACTCGTGTCGACAGCCCGCCGAGCCCCCGCAGTAGCGAGTATCGGTGTCCTATCCCTCTCGCTGCATTGCGACACATTCTGGCCGCCCGACATTCTCTGCTGCATGACGCAGCACCCAGTACA